TACATCTGCATCCCACCTTTGCTATAGGCAAGATCTCTCACTCTGAACATTTGGGAAATGTGAATAGCAAGGAGTGACCCACTCAAAAGGGGGATGTGTTTATAGAATGTCAATGATGGCTCAACACTTTTACGTGATAACAATCAGATTTGAAGATTCTTTGTGCCTGACCATACGTTGATGAGATTTGTCCATTTAATATGTGGGGGGAGGGGGGAGAAGTAATTCATGTTAGTGATCCCCAATCTTTCCAGAGAAAAACTACATTAAGTAAACATGTAAACAAATTTAAAAATATGTAATATGGACTGTAAATGTATATACAGCATTCCCCAAAGAATAGAGATGTAGCTTCCATATCTTTTGACTTGGAAAGTACATAAGACCCATTTTTTTCTCAGTCTATGAATTTTGAAGTTCATGTTGATTTTAATATTCTACAAGAAAGCCACTACATCTTAAGGACAAAGTTTGGGGGCATCTACTGAATAACTATATGCAAATACAAAACATTCTCTGTCATCTAAATCTATCCTGGTTGGGAAAAAGAGTGCTCCAAGTAAGAAGTTTGATATCTATCTTAATTTGATAGCACTTTCTAAATTGAAATAAATTGTAGAATAAAATACAATAAGCAAAAAACAGAGCTAAAATAAAAAATCCTTTCTTTGATATTTCAGATGTTTCTTTGATATTTTCAGTACCTTGAGACCAGTGTGAACATAAATTATCTTACATAAAAAAAACAAAATGGAATAGCTGAAAGAAGGGAAATTTAGGATATTTCTCAAACCTTTATTTGGCCTTCTCTGCCTTCTACCTGCTGTGTAACATTGAGCAAGTTGCATAAACTCTATGGGCCTCAAATTTATCATTTCTATAGAGTTTTCTTCTAACCTGGCAAAATTTCATTTACTGTCTTTGCTAGTGATCATCACTTCATAGACTCTCTAGCTATTATATATTATGCAAAGCTGGTCATATGAGGGGGTATGGAATCAAATTGTCTAAGAAGTACATGGTCTCCTAGGAAGATTTTGACTAATATTCCTCTATTTCCTGGGATTCAGAGTTAAGGAGATTTATTGTTATAAACGAAGGTGTCTGTGAGAATTACCAGGAACAAGAAATGATAAGGAGACTCGTGGGGCACCTTGGTGGCTCAGTCAGTTAAGCATTCTCTCGATTTCGTCTCAGGTCATGATCTCACAGTTTGTGAGTTCAAGCCTCGAGTTGAGCTCCTCACCGACAGCTTGGAGACTGTTTGGGATTCTCTCTCTCTCTCTCTCTCTCTCTCTCTCTCTCTCTCTCTCTCTCTCTCTCTCTTTCTCTCTCTCTCTCTCCTCCCCTGCTTGTACAAGCTCCTTCTCTCTCTCAAAATAAATAAACAAACTTAAAAAAAAAAAGGAAATGATAAGGAGACTCATAAGGTAAAATTACATTGAAGAAAAGGGGAAGTAAGATCTAAGTTAGAACAGACATTTTTAACCTGGGGCCTCAGGAATAGAATTCATGTTCATACATTTGAATAGGGAAAAATGCATTTAACTGATTTTAGTATTTCCATTGTAAATATACAATGCGGTTTTATGATTTTGTGACCAATAGAAATCACAGATAATTTTCTCTCATATTATACTTTTTCTAAATATCTTAAAATGAGTAACAATTAATAACACTCATTACTCTTATTTTTAAATTATATTAGTTAGTAGAAATGCCACTGAATCTGTTTCCTTTGTGCAATATAAAGAAGTGTATACATCAGACTTTTGGATTTTATTATATTTTGATTACATATTTATTATATTTTATTATATTTTGATCAACAAATTTCAGTGTAACTAGTTTCCTTAGTAATTCTATGTATTTTATTTTGTACCTTTAAGAAATATTTTGAGAAGAGATCCAGAGGCTTCAGCAAGCTGTTCAAAGTGTCCATAGCACTAAGACATGTTACGAACCCCTGGCTTAAAAGCCTAAACTCTTGGACAGCTACTTTGGGTATGCTGGGGCTCACTCCTCTGGTCCTATAACCCAACTCAGTAGTAGTGTTCTAGGAAATAATACTGAACACAGTCATGCAGGCTATGAGAAACCCATAGAGGAGAGCACAGGGCCCCCCAACAATAGCCTTAAAAAGGTGGAAAGAACCTTTATGGGAATGAGAAGAACTTTTTCTTTATTAGATACCATGTGGTAGCAAAAAATGTTCCAATCTGCACTTGGGAAGAGAAGCTGAACTGACCGTCCCATTAGATGAAAAAAAGCCCATGGTCTCTTTTGGGAAATAAAACATTAGAGAAGCACCACAAGGCAATCACTGCACTTCATATCAGTGTGGCAGTTGGGTGCCTGAGTAACAATTTAAATATTTTAACTCAGTAGAGAAAGTTATATTTGTGAAAGAGAGAAATATATCCAATTGTGGTGGGACCCAATGCAGTGGATAAATAGGCACCTAACTGAGTCGAGAATACAGAAAATGCTGAAAACCTTTTAGCACTTTTGTCTTCCAATGTCCCCCTGTTGTGGATCCACATAAACGGAGAGAGAGACAATTTAAGAGCAGTAGTGGTCCTGTTTCAATCAGTTTTTGCTAACAAAAATAACAAAACTCAAATTAAAGTTCTTAATAATAACTGTTATCCCATTTTACATGTATTCAGGAATTAAGATAAAGAAATTATGTCACTTTTCTAAAGCCTCACAGCAAGTTAAGGATCAACCTAGGATGAGGACAGGGCTTACCCATTAGAGAGAGTTGTCTCCAGTCATTTACACTAATCCTAATCTCCAGCCTGTTCTCTTTGTGGTTAAACCCTGTCAGGAGAGACTTTTCTAAAAGCTGTTATGACATTTAAGGTCACACTACTTTGGGCCTTGTTTCCATATACGCCTGATCTTTGGTCTTTCCATGTGTCATAGTTTGAGCTCGACACTCAGTTTTGCTCAAGCCGCAGAGATCCTGACGATGAGCCCTTACTGACTAGAATATTAAGAGCAAATAGCAATAGTGTAGTTTAACTGTTGGGAATTCTTATATATCCATAAATGCAGTTTATTAGGGTAAGGTTGTCCCTATCTCCCTCCCTCACACCACCTGGACTGCCTTCTGAGTTTTCTTCCTCCTTCAAAATTTCTTCTAATTTAATTAACTCAACTGATATTTATGGATTGTCCACTGTGTGCTTGGCACAGTATTGACTCTGGAAAACAAATAATGGGCTAAGGAGACAATAGCTTTTGTCCTCAGGGAGCAACAGGGCCGTGGGGGAGATAGCCATTTTTAAAATGTAATAAAAAAAAACAAACACTACGGAAACATAGCACACACAACCCACTATAAGAAGTGCCATGAAAGAGAAGATCACAATTTAATGAGATCTACTGGTGAGAACCTGGGCTCAAATGGGAGATTGAGGAAGGCTTTGTTGAGAAAGTAACTTTTTATCTGAGAACTGAAGGCTGATAAGTGTGAGGTATGGGGAAAAAATATGTGAAAACGATGTTCCATTTAGAGCAGTTTGAGCAAAGAGCTAAAAGAAAAAAATAACTATTTTCCCAGATTGTATGTGATTCAGCTTATTTCAGTGCAAAGGTTCAGAAGACGGGCAACAGTTCTGAACTCCTCAATGGCCAATACTCCAATATAGCTACTATATTATCATTTTTAAATAGTTTAAAGCCACATTGCTTTATGGTATTGTTTAGCTCTTCTCACAATTTATACTTTGTTACTTGGTTTTTTACAACCTGGTGTGTAGTTTATCAACATAAATACTTTGCATTAATGATTTGCTTGAGTTCTCATGAATGCTCTTTGGGCCTCTCAAAAACCAGAAATCAAAGTGTGGAATAGACACACATATTCCCATAGCTAAGTATATGAACCCACTCCTGGTACCAGCCTATAAGGAACAATGGACATGGCCACTTCCCAAATCTTTGGATTGTAGATTTATAAAATGTCAAAATCACTTAGTCCTAATATCTCATGTTCTCTTGTAGACAAACAGAGCAGAAAAACAAAAACAAAACAAAAAATAAACTTGCTGCTTTCTTTTGTAAACATTTGTTGTGACATACCATTTGGCCTAGCAGTCATTTGCACTTATATTCTGAATAGAATCTTTTGACAATGGGACTCACCAAAGGAATTTTATTTTACTGCTAGCCCTAAGTTCTCAAAGTTCTCGATACTGCTACAAGAACAATTTCAGGATAGAGTCAAGAACTATCATGGTATTTTTTAATTGCTTGCCATCTTATGCTAATCCTTCTATCTGTATTATTAATAAAGCCTATTTTTTTAAATTTTTAAAACGTTTATTCATTTTTGAGAGACAGAGAGAGACGGAGCATGAGCGGGGGAGGGGCAGAGAGAGGGAGACACAGAATCTGAAACAGGCTCCAGGCTCTGAGCTGTCAGCACAGAGCCTGCCGCGGGGCTTGAATTCACAAACTGCGAGATCCTGACCTGAGCCAAAGTCGGACACTCAACCAACTGAGCCACCCACGTGCCCAGAGCCTATTTATTTTTTAATGTCCTCATCAATATCATTTTATGTGCTAGTGTTCTTAGCTCAAGACCAAATAAATTGCTGCCTTATGTATGTTCCCTAATACTTTTATAACCACTATTATATTACCTGTTTTTATACAATCATTTGCTTATATTTCTGGAAGTTAATAGACCCATTCTATATTCTTTTAGTTCTATGTCTCCTACAGAGCCTAGCTCAGTGCCTGCCATACAATAAGCACTGAAGAGGTAAATAAGATTCTAGACACTTCTGTGCAATAGATCATTTCCTTCACCTGGCTTCTTCCAATCTACATTGTATGTTATTCAAACTAGCATTCAGAATAATTTGATTACAGAGCATAATTCTCCCCAAGAAGTGGGGGTGTTTTCATCAGTCTCGCCCATTTTTTTTCTTGCAATGTCATTGGAGTGAGTTGAACAGACAGCCTGATTCCACACAGAGAGCAGTCTTATCAACCTCCCACAGCCTGTGAAGCCCTCAGTGTGCCTCTGTCCTTTTCCACAAACATGAAGCTCAAATTCCCTGTGGTGGCCATCGTCTTGGAGGTTGCCATGATTATTTTATTTGGATACTTTGTCGAGTATGAAACGGAGCAGATCAATCTCCAGCAACCCAACACCACCAACTCAACAAAAGTGGACAGATTTCTTGAGTTACATTCTCGTGAGTAGGCAATCTACTTCTTATTATACATTTTGGGGTTTTTAGAATGTGAACCCATTTGGGGGACTTAGAATGTGAACTCTTTGAATTCTGTAACCACTGGAGTGCCACATTGGAACACCCTATAGAACTTATGATACTTATGAGTGCTGAGGGTATTATTATAAGTTTGTGCTGAGGTATCTGGTCCATGGCAATGGTCTCTGTAGTTAATGTGTTTGGACAGAATCTGAGACTATTAAAATATCAGCACAAGAAGGCAAAAATTAAAATAATTGGTCAATCTTTTGTGTTAACTATATCTGCTAAATGACGTTAATTTTCCCTTAAATTGATCCCTAGTTTTGTAAGGTATAAAAATATCACCCACACCCCACAAAACAACAACACAAGAACAGAGTCAAAAGTAATTTTCAAGGAGAGAGTAGAAGCAAAGTGAAGTATTAAGAAGGGAACATGGATTTCATGTGGGGGCCCTAAGGTATAAGAAGTGGTATTATCAATGGTATAGGACGTAAACGGATGTACTCTGGGTTTTATAATGCTCTAAAAGGAAAGTAATTTGTTCCTTAGCAATGGGAAACAAGTGTGAGCACCTAACATATTTTAAAAGCAGAATCCTTCCTCCGGAATGGTAGCTGATGAAAAGAAGGTATATAGTTTCAAGTTTGACAGGGAAGGCTATGAAATAGTTAATATAACGTTAATAACTACTGTTAACTGACTGCCTATTATGAGCCAGGCATATTCATTACATCATTAACCAGGCAGGGAGGTGATAATATATCCCTATTATATACATTGTATTTTTTTAATAAGGCACACATAAATTTTTTATTAATTTATTAATGATTAAATCTATTAATTTATTAAATGTTTAAAATAGTAGCAATGTTTATTAAAGTTCTATAGCATATATCTAAGCTTTTTAAAGACCATATGACATTCATTCCCTCATTGCAACATTTTTTGAGGAAGTTTATATAACAGGGAGTATTCTCATGCAGACATCATGACCTACCACTGCTAAATGACTCAGCCATACTACCGCCGGATAAAATATTTTGTGGAATAGCCCTAAAAGCTACATGATTATGGTTACACATACATATTTTTTGTTCTACATTTTCTACATTTTTCCCTACATTTCAAATTGACTCACACAAAACTTAGGTGACAGCGTAAGTCATTAGAGAGAAGATTATTTAACATTCACTTATTAAGAAATGTTCAAGTCAGACCCTTGGGGGTACCTGCCTCGTACCGTGTGAATTGCACCAAGTGGGGGGATTCCAGTATGGGGAAGGCTCTGCTTCTGCATGAGGAACTCAACCTGTGTTACAACAGTTCTCAGATGCAGTGTGGCAAAAGTTATGAGTTTTTCACAAATAGGTGAAGCAGAATATTAATTTATATTTTAAGTAAAGTCAATTAGATATGAGTTGATTCATCGCTTGCATCCTGCTATGCTTTTCTGCATAGTGGGGCAATACATGGTGTCACACAGCCCATCCCAAGGCACAGCCACGGAAGTCTGTGGCACATCTGAATATCATGTTTCATGTCCTGAATGACTCCATAGACACTCATTTGAGAAACAAGCTGCACTCTATGATTTTTTGGCCTTCATGGCTCCTGGCAAAGTATTGGTCACACTGCTGAAGCAAATAATTTGACAAGGAGTGAAGTTCTACTGTGACTGTCTGCTAATCCTTGTTAACATATAGACAGAGCAGAGAAAAGGAGAGTTTAAGGAGAAGGCCCTTTGAGGCCTGTCAACATTTTATTAGAGATTCTGCAGACACACATCTTTAATATCTATGGGACATTAAAGCCATGTCCATGATCGTTTTGTACTGTTACATTAAAATCCATTGGTCTCTCTTGCACTTTTTTTTTTTTTGTAATTTTTTTTTTTGTTTTGAGAGACAGAGAGAGACATAGCATGAGTGGGGGAGGGGCAGAGAGAGGGAGACACAGAATCTGAAGAAGGCTCCATGCTCTGAGCTGTCAGCACAGAGCCCGAAGAGGGGCTTAAACTCACGAACTCTGAGATCATGACCTGAGCTGAAGTCAGACGCTGAACCTTAACCAACTGAGCCACCCAGGTGCCCCTCTCTTGCACTTTCAGTAGAGCTTTTACCAAGGTGAGATCTTGTTATAGTGTGCATCAATCATTTGAAAAATACTCATTCACAGTTATGCAAATATTCCAAACCTGGACATACTTCATCATATAATAACAGAAGAGGATACTTGTTAATATCACCAACAGTCTCACCAGAAAACCCTTGAGAACTATCAGGAAGCTGATAAGCTCATAGTGGCAGACACAAACTCTGAAATTCTAAATTTTTTTTAAGTCAAAATGTATTCCTGGCAACAAATACTGTCGATTCTTTTCACTGAAAGAACAGCCTCCCCTCATTCATTTTTTAGACAATGTCAATACCTGTCTGAAAAACCATAGTTTATGTCAGTCTTTATTTCAAGTAAAAATAGAGTTCCATAAAAAAAAAAATTGCTCATTCAGTTGGTACTCAAACAATAACAAAAGTGCCATTTTTCTGAGATGACCACATGTCTCAGCAGTGCTTTATGTACAATTGCATTTCAGCACACTCTCATACAGAATAGGAAAAGGACACATAGAAGGAGTTCAGTAGTGAAATTAATAATTTTTGCTGCTTCATAAAAGAATTCCTAATTAAAACCTGCATTTTTGGGGTGCCTGCGTGGCTCAGTCAGTTGAGCATCTGATTCTTGATTTCACCTCAGGTCATGATGCCAGGGTCAGGGTCAAGTCCTCCACCCCCCTCCCACCCCTGTCAGGCTCCACTGAGTGTATGGCCTGCTTAGGATTCTGTCTTTCTCTTTCCCTCTCCCTCTCTCCCCCTCTTCCCTGCTCCCCTACTTGCACACTCTCTCTCTCTCTTAAGAAAGAAAGAAAGAAAGAAAGAAAGAAAGAAAGAAAGAAAGAAAGAAAGAAACCTACTTTTTTTCCTGCAAGTGAGTGGTCATTAAGAATACCATGAGGTGGGTGATGGGTATTGAGGAGGGCACCTTTTGGGATGAGCACTGGGTGTTGTATGGAAACCAATTTGACAATAAATTTCATATATTGAAAAAAAAAAAGAATACAATGAGAAGGGGTGCCTGGGTAGCTCAGTCAGTTAGAGTCTGACTTCAGCTCAGGTCATGATCTCAGAGTTCATGAGTTCAAGCCCCACATCAGGCTCTGTGCTGACAGCTCAGAGCCTGGAGGCTGCTTCAGATTCTGTGTCTCCCTCTCTCTCTGTCCCACTCGTGCTCTGTCTCTCTTTGTCTATCAAAAACAAATAAACATTAAATTTTTTTTAAAAAAATAAAAAAGAATCCCACGACAACCAGCACACTTTGATGCCACTGCTTTCACCCAGGCTAAAGTGCCTGTAGTTTTACGTATATTTATTTCACCTTCTCTGGAAATATTAGCGCACACACACACAAAAAACAAATTACACTGTAGAATTATTATGAAAATAGTTTTCACCTCTCAGATTCCCTAAAAGTGTCTCTCAAACCCCCAGATGTCTGCAGATCACGCTTTGAGAACCACTGAAGATATAGGTAAACTGACAAAGGATGTACACAGCACTAGACATTATTTTATGAATTTCCATACCAGTAATGGATTAAGTACAATGATTTATTTTTAAAAATCTACATTTAAGAATTTGTTTCTATATTTACTCAGATACTATTCAGTTCATTTATTACCAAAAGATTCAGCAAATCTAGATATGTTATAGGCAAAGAGTAACTAATTTGTGCAGTGTAAATGATTCCTAAAGAATTGCTTGCTGTTACTCTAAGTGTTACCTGGAATTGTTACTATTCCTGAATTAACATACTGTCTGTAGTTTGTAACCTAACAGTAAGATATCAGCCTCCAGTAGAACCCTGTGTGTTGCCTTTGATTGAATAGTTTTTGTGTACTGGAAAGGACTGGAAGCGATGGGCACAAATAAAACCCAAACCCTAGTAGTTAAATACCATTCCCCACTCAGAGGTGCACTGGAGAAATTGTTGGTTCAAGGTCAGGGTGAAGAAAGACAAGGTAAGCCAAGGGTGTAACAGCTAATGGGAGGATGCCAAAAGAACACAGGACCCTGTTTGAAGCAGCACCAACTAGACAAGTTGGGGATAAATAGAGAGTTAAAAATAATAATCAGGTGGTAATAGTAACTCATTGAAATAAAGATAAAGGAGCCAATGAACCCATAGAAATATTCCCCAAAGCAGGTAAGGGGAGAAAGAGGAAACTCTTCCTCACAAAAGAATGCCACCTAATTAATACAAAAGGAATAATAGATATAGAAAATTATAATTTTAAAATTAAAAATGTAATAATTGATTCCAGCAAGACTCTTCAAGGAATGCAAGAACCACTACGTAAAGTTACTGGAGAACACACATTTGAAAGAATTGCCCCACAGACTACTTATCCTTTACAGGGCATAAGGTACATTTATGGTGAAGAGATCTGGCAGAACAGTCTTAACCACGTGGTCAAATTTACCATCACCAATAATAGGACGAAATTTATGCGCCACCAGGTGTGGTACAATGGGAAGTACACAGCACTATCTGTAGAATATTCTTCCCAGAATATTTAGTCTCATTCTAATTATGGCGAAACAGTCAAACAAATCCAAATTGTGGGACATTCTATGTAAAAGACAGAACAACACCACCAATAAAAATCATGTGGGAAAACCGATCAAAATTAAAGAAAAATGAAGACACATGACAAACAAACAAACAAAAAAAAAAGAATGACAGTTGAATGGATAATGAGTTAAAAATCCTATAAAAGAACAATTTGGGTACAGTTGGGGAAATTTGAATATAGATACTGTATTAGATAATATTATTGTATTGATGTCATATTTCTTGGATGTGAGGATGGTGTTATGGTTATTTAGGAAACTCATGCTAAAGAGGTTGGGGCAAAATGTCATCCTACTTTCAAATGGCTTAGGAAAAAAATATATATATATATATATATATATATCTGATGAGAGAGAGAGAGAGAACAAATATAGAAAATAGGAACAACTGATAAATCTAGGTGAATAGTACATAGATGTTCATTGTAATATTTTTCTAAATATTTGAAATATGTGAAATTAAAATATTTGGGAGGTGGGGAGTAAAGATGCCACCCTAAGGATACCTTCTTCTCAGAAAACATGAGTTTAGAATATAATCCCAGTGGTTCCAAGGACTGGAACTCTAGAAGAGCAAAAAAGTTACATGCCTGGCAAACACCATGCCAGCCCTTAACCGTTAAAAAACAAAACAAAACAAGAAAGCCACCAGTTCTAATTGGCCAGCTGAACAATTTTCACCACTTGATCGAGAAAAACAATTTTTCTGAATAAGGTCCTGATGGTCCCAGTCAGACAAATTCTCAATGGTCCTTACCAGTGATCCATTTATTCCTGCTTATCTGAGGCATTTCCTGAAAAGGTACAGGTGCCAGACTTTCTGCTGGGGTCTGTTAGCCACATCATGATTACTGCCTTCACACTTGGATTCACTTTCTCTTGAAAGAGTGCCTAATTGGCAGTGCTTGCTCAATATTCTATTTGAATAAATGGCATGCAAGCACATAGAATCACAAAACAAACACATAAGCAAAGAAAATAAAATAAGGGAAAGTATGCGCCATGTTATAGCTGTGACCAGTAACACTGTGCAGACGATCTGGTTCTTGATGGCTGTATAGAAGTTTGTCAGGTAAAGAAGTGTTGGGTTTGGGATGGAGAGGACATTCGAGGCAACAGCCATATGTAGGAAATAGAAGGAAAGGAGGGGTCTGATTCATTCATTTGGTGCTAGTGGTGGTAGAAAGTGAGTTGGAATCATCGGTTGTATTTTAAATATGTTGAGTTATCAGAGCTTGCAAGATATCCTAACACAAGATAAAGGTGGATGTAAAACAGAACAAAAATATCAGACATTGTCACATTTACTGGGGAGACAAAAATCACACTCTACTGAGAATATGTGATTCAGACAAGTCTTGGCAATTCTTAAAACCTGTTGGAAGACTTTACAAAAGTTCAATCTCCTTTTCTTCTACAGAGAATACTTTATTCCTTTGATGGCCTTCTTACAACATAGAACTAATCTCATGGCCCTCCCTCCAGTCCCCACCCACAAAATCTTAGAGCAGGATAAAAGGTAATACATAATCCTAATTGTTTATAGCTCTTTCTTAACCATACTTTTTATACAGAATCATGATGTCAAGAGTTTTCACAACTTTGTGAGCTCTCTATAGCAACTTAAATAATAGATGAGGTTCTTAAGCCCCCTTGTGGCGAAAAGCAAGAATAAGCTTTGAGGGGAAAAAAACCATCTGAGCACACAGTTAATATATATGGTCACTTAATACTTCAAAAACCAAACAGGTTCATGTTAGTTGACCATTGCCCATCAACAGGTCTTGTAAAGCCCCAATCCCAAAGTTGTCTGGGTATATATGAGATGAGGGTGGTCAGCCAAAACGCTGGCATAGGTGAAATAGTCATCAATCTGCTTTATCCAACTAGGACTGCACAGCATTCTTCTCTCTGGTGCAGGCTACCCCAGGAAAAGGCTGTGACCTCGACAAGAATATTTTCCAGAGAGAATTGAGAGCTTAAGACTCTCATGTAGCAGGACTCCCTACATCCAGGGAAATGGAAAAATAAGTTATCCATTTCTAAAGGAGGTATCTGGGCAGCGTATCACAGCATCTCCTACAGCAGACAAACCTGAGTGCCATCGTCTCCCAACCTCAAACACACTGTCTCCTGAGCCTAATGGTAGGACAGAGGTAGAAAGAGCCAAAGGGTAGTAACATGTCTCTGAGACCCTGGAAGGCCAACACTCTGCCTTCATTATTTTTCTGTTAATCCCTACAGTGCTCAATGCATAGAGGAATTGGTGGAGTCAGGCCTGGATTCAAATTTTAAGCCCACCCTTCAGACGAATTAATTGGATTCTAACATCAGTTTCCTCTGAGATATATTTTTTAGGAATGTCCTCTCTCATGCCTATTTTCACTTAAACCCCTGGCCACAATGATTAATGTTTTCTTTTTGTCTCTCTGTTTTTATATGTTTTCTTTTTGTTTTCTTTAAATGTTTTCTTTTTGTCTCTCTGTTTTTATATTTGTGCCCAATTTGACCTCAGTTTGCTTTGTGTATCTATTAGGTTGAACCACAAGAAATTGCCAATACTTTAATCATTTTCATTGATAATTTTAATGCAAAAATTTCCATTTCATGGGATTCAACCAAATGCATGTCTTGCTAATGAAGCTATCCCTTTCTTGAGGGAAAAGCCTATGTTTCCACTATCTCATATTTGATCATATGTTTTATTTGTTTTTGATCCTATGTTTTATTTATATAGTGCTCTACTGCACACTCCTTCCCACACAGGTTATCTCACACAGAGTTCTCTGTGAAACAGGGCCTTTTCAGTATTGCAGATGAAAATACTGAAGCTCAGAGAGAGTAAGTGACTTGCCCAAAGTCACACAATCATGTAATAGAACTGGGGGACCCTAGCTTACATTTCCAAACCCTAAGTAAAGTATTTGCTCCTCGAGAGGATACAGCATTTTTTTTTTTTTTTTTTTTTTTTTTTTTTTTTTTTTTTTTTTTTTTTTTTTTTTTGCTTTGGCTTAGAAAGTGCTAACAAAGACATTATCATACTGGACTTCAACAATAATCTGGTACTATTATACAGATTTGATCATTGGAGACTGAAGCTCATTCATTTAGTCATTATTGCCTCTTATCTTATAGGCAGATTTTTATGCCAAATCCTGGAGAGCAAAAGATGAATATGTTCTAATCCCTTCAGTCAAGAAACTCAAAATCTGGTGCAGGATATAAACACCTCATAAAGGAACTCTTACAGGGTGATGCATGCCAAATATATGCTAACACAGTGTGGCAAATGTTAAAGTTGAAGTATGTACAGAATGCTGTGTGGAAGAGGAAATATTAGTTTTCCCTGGGAGTACTAGGAAGGTCTGCAAGAGGGGGTGATGTTTGCATTGTTCTGTGCAAAGTTTTCCTCAGGTAGAAAGGAATGGAAAACTCTTCAGGGAGAGGATGAAAGGCACACAGGTATGAGAGCACATAGTATTCCAAGAAAAACTTGAATAGTTACCCAAGGTTTCATGATTGATAAGGAGCCAAGCTGGCACTGAGACCCAGCCTTTGGCTGCCCAGTTAATGCTGTCTCTTTGCAGTGTTTTACGTAAAGGATGTAAAATTTAATAAATGGGGTATTTCATGATGTAACATTTTCTTAGTTCTCCCTTAACACAGAATTTTTTTCCGATACTTTTTTTTTTTTTTTTTTTTTTTTTTTTTTTTTTGCAGTGTTCCAAGATGTACATGTAATGATATTTGTTGGGTTTGGCTTCCTCATGACCTTCCTGAAAAATTATGGCTTCAGTAGTGTGGGCATCAATCTACTCATTGCTGCTTTGGGCCTCCAATGGGGCACTTTTATGTGGGGGATCGTGCACAACCATGGACAGAGAATTCACATTGGAATCAAAAAGTGAGCATCCCTTATTTTTCAACCGTTGTGTTTTCAGAGCAATTGTTTCTCTGCTTAGTCTCTTGTCAGTAAGCCTCTGAACCAGCTGGCACATTGTCCCCCTTAGACAAGAGAAGAATATTGGGATCTTAGGATGCGAATCAACACCTTGCTGTACTGAGCAGGGTCATACATTCGTGTCTATATCTTCTCCAGTTTGACTTTAAAGATAAGATAAATCCCCTTTCATAAAAACATTATTCCTTCCATCTCAGCTACAGGGGGCAAAAATCCTCCATTAGCTACTTTTCTATATTTACATTTTGAAAGGTAAACACTGTAGAAAGTAATTCATTTATCAGATCAACAAAAATAAAGGAAAACCTCAGTGAGATCAAGAACAGGTAGGTCAAAATAAAGGAAACATTGTAGCAGCTAGAGAGCATGGAAGATGGAAAGTGGAGTGTGTGAAAGGGTGTCTGGGAGGAGTGCCTGATGGGAAGCAGTAGGGGAGCAGGGCTTGCACTCTGGATAAAATGGTGCTATAGTAAATCCCAACTCTCAGTTTTATGTTGGGTGTGTCTTATTCTTCAATGTATTCTTTCCTTTTTTTCCCTTAGCATGATAAATGGAGACCTCAGTACAGCCACAGTCTTGATTTCTTTTGGAGCTGTCCTGGGAAAAATAAGTCCAACCCAAATGCTGGCCATGACAATATTAGAAATTGCTGCCTTTGTTGGCAATGAATATCTGGTTGGTGAGATATTTAAGGTAAGGATTAGAGGATTTATACTTACTAGCTTTGGACATCAGTTCTGGTTACACCTAATGGATGTCCACTCTACATAGGGACAAACATCAGTGAGCATGATAGCACAGCAAGTATAATTACACCCATCACTTATTCAAGTGCCTATCATAAACCAGGAGTCTCATCAACATTGCCTCATTTCACTGTCACCGCCACACTATAACCTGGGTATTATTAGTTGTTACAAATTACAACTAATCATCACAGATACTGAAAAACTGTCCCAAATATGGATTTAAACCCAGATTTTTCTAACTCCACAACTCTATTTATTACATTATATTTCCTATCAATGATCAATTCCTATTTATATTTCAACTACTAGGTGACCTTGCCCTTCCTAAGACTTTTGTTAAAGCCTAAACTTTTCGCCTACCTTTAAAAGCTCATTGATTCCCCCTAAGAACAGTCAATAGAATACTTCTGGGCACTCTCCAGTACTGAACATTTAATTCAACAGCAAATAATTTTTTAAATTTTTTATTTAAATTCCAGTTAGGGTGGCTCAGTTGGTTGAGCATCTGGCTCTTGATTTTGACTCAGGTCATGGAATCAAGCCCTGTGTCAGGCTCTGCACTGCGCATGGAACCTGTTTAGGATTCTCTGTCTCTTTTCCTCCCTCTGCTCCCTCCCCTGCTCGTGCTCTCTCTCTCTCCCTAAAATAAAAACAACAACAACAACAAAAACCACAAAACAAAACAAAACAAAACTCCAGTTGTTTAACATATAGTATAATTTTAGTTCCAGGTATACAATATAGTGATTCAACACTTCTGTACAACACCTGGTGCTCATCAGCAAATGCTCTTCTTAATCCCCATCAGTTATTTAACCCATCCCCCCCATCCAACTCCCCTCTCAACAGAAAATATTTTTGACAACTTTCCAGGTATCATGTGATTGTGATGACAGACAAAACAGTGAAGGTCCCTGTCTTTATAGGGTTTACAGTCCAGTGAGAGAGACAGACATCAAATAGATAATCATGCATGACCCACTCACCTATAGGCACATGCATACACACACACACACACACACACACACACATATACACAAATATTATTATAAATTGCAATACATGCTATGAAAAATAAGTAGAGGGGGCTATGAGACAGCATAACTGGAAGACCTAATTTAGTGGAATCAAGGAAGACCTCTCTGAGGAAGTGACAGTTAAACTGGACCTGAAAGATACAGAGGAGTTTATCAACTATGAAAGTCTTACATAAATTAATAAATGTGTATCATTTTCCTACCTTAATTGTACTTAATAAGTATAATAAGAGCTAAGCAGCAGGTTTGGCACTCTAAACTTTCCCTCTAGGAACAGGAGAATGTAGAAAATTTGTTCAAATTCATACAGTGTCCTCAAGAGGGAACTAAATAGATTGCTTCAAGTGAATCTTGGACCTTATCTGGCTTTCATGTCATCATATAACAGAGTGAAAACATATGGGGAAGACTCAGGCTTTTTAAAGCTTCAAGGCTTTGAATTGCAATGAAATGAGCTTTAACTGTAATGTCAAATGAATGCAAAAACCTGTTTTTTGGTTTTTTTTTTTGTTTTTTTTAAACAAGTGCAGTGCATAGTTATTTTACTAAGAATTCCCTAGCCTGGAGAAGTAACCTAAAATGAATGGAGTGTCCACAAAGACCTACCACTTTACAAACATGGTCTCACTAAGTCTCACTATAGCTATATTAGCTGGGTAATATTTCCCACTTTACAGAAGCAGAGATCCAGAGAAATATGGTAATTTGTCTAAAGTCACATCGTAAGGAAGTACCTGACCTAGGATTGAAAGTCAGTTCTGCGTGTCTCCAAAGCCTGTATTTTTTAAAATTTCATTATCCTGTTTTATCCTCCTTTCATTGACTTATATTTTCTTTTAATTTTTTTTTAAATTATTGTTTAACCAATGAAGCAGTCCTTTCATTGACTTTCCTCCCGAAGTGAGACTCAATCTCACCCCTAAAACGTGCATGTTTTGGTCCTCAGGCCTCTGACATCGGAGCATCAATGACCATCCATGCTTTTGGGGCATACTTTGGCTTGGCGGTAGCAGGCATCCTGTATCAACCAAGCTTGAGAAAGGGGCACGAGATGGAGAAGTCTGCGTACCACTCAGATCTGTTTGCCATGATTGGTGAGTAGAGGTGGACTTGCCTGATTCAGTTCCCAAGGCAAACTGCCTCCCTGCGACTGTCTTCCATTTCCAGAATTAATATCCCTTTTTGTGGTTTCCGGCAGGAACTCTTTTCCTGTGGATGTTTTGGCCCAGCTTTAATTCAGTCACCGCTGAAACTGGAGAGAAACAGTACATGGCCATCGTAAATACATACTTCTCTCTTGTCGCCTGTGTGCTCACAGCCTATGCATTTTCCAGCCTTGTTGAAAAGAGAGGCAGGCTTGATATGGTAAGGGCAGATTAACCACCATGGAAGTTTCGCTAAGTGATGTTGACGATTGCTCGGATGCGCAGGTCATGTCTGCATCGCTGCTGGGTCGCTGCAGGAAATCACAACACGGCAAACCTTGCAGAATATTTTGAAAAGAACACGCATTTGTTTCTTCATCAAATTTGTGTTGTGGCAAATCAAAAAAACTGTCCTCAAGGAACTGACAGTCTATTAAGGAATATAGTCATGCAAAAATCAAAGATTTGAGACATATTTCTTTAATGATAGAGTTGACTGTCTCCAAGGTCTTAGAAAATTTTCCTTAGAAACAGGACTTGCCAAAAGTAGAAAAAGAGAATGAGGGAGGAGGAGGGTGCAAGTTGATTCTGTTTTCCTAAGCTGCAAATGTCCCTCTCAAAGGAACAACAACTAATGACAAGGTAGGATCCTGAGTAGGACCCTGGAAAAGGAAAAGGACACTAATGGGAATATTGGTGAAATTCAAATAAGACTTTTAATAGTACTCTATCAATGCTAATTTCCTGGTTTCATGATTATGTAAGATGTTAACATTAGGGGAAACTGGGTGAGGGATATATGGAAAATGCAATACTTTTGCAACTATTACATGAGTCTAAAATTACTTCAAAACAAAACATTTTTTAAGATCCTCCCAAGTTGGTCTCTTGAGTTTTTGACCTATGAGCTAGAGAAATGTCAGTTAAGGAGTAATCTGCACATCAGCGGCTCTTCTTTTCCAGCCTCAGGGAAGAAAAGGATATTGTAATTTCTTCAGGCATAGCTAAGGACATGGATTTCAATGCTGTACAAATTATTTAATTTGTAAATTTAATAATTTAAATTAAAAAGAAAGAAAGAAAATTAAAAACAAAAGAAAAGAAAAGAAACACACACGCACAGCTCAGTCCTGCTTTTTTAAAACACTGATGAACTTTCCTCCTTAGGCAGATCAGTGAGAAGATAATCTTTCTGATGAATTCTGGTAAAAGGAAATTGGTCACTCTTTCCACCATATTTAAAGGTTCTCAGCACGGTGACACATGTGAAAGCTGTTGTCTTTCATGTACAATGTGCACATTTTGGTGTCTCTATATTCCTTGAGTGTTGGAATATCATGGACTCCGCAAAGCACACAGCAACCACAGACCTCTTTTGGTTCATGATAACCACAGATGCATCCCCCAAACTGAATAAATAGATATAACACTGCTAGAATAATTGCACTACGCTCCCAAGCCTCCCACTACAACCTCTTTTGTTTTTCCTCAAGTCCCTCCCCAAACTTGTCTCACTAACCAGATCACTCAGGCACTACCAAGGAACCCCAGCAAGAAAGGTATCAAACAGCTGCTTGGAAGAAAGGCCTTCTGTAATTATAAAGAACCCTATTTTTAGAAAAGAATCCATAGCCCTTTGAACTGAAGAATGTGCCATGGAGTCCATCCAACCCTGGATACATTCCTTCATTCCTTCTGAAGTCTCCTTCGTTCAGCTCACTCCATTCGTGTTTCTGTGCTCCATGCAGGCTCACATTCAGAATGCAACCCTTGCTGGAGGAGTTGCTGTGGGCACCTGTGCGGACATGAAGATCCACCCGTATGGTTCTATGATCATTGGGAGCATTGCAGGAATTGTCTCTGTGTTTGGGTTCAAGTTCCTGACTGTAAGTATGACAAGTGCTCTTAGTCAGACTTTGATCTGCACCATCATCTTCTGACATCCCACCAATAGAGAAAAGCTGGGAAAATTCCTCTCATCAGCATCTCTCCTTATTTCGGGGTCATTTCCCTTCCTGTCAGAAATGCCACTCACATTTCCATGTACAATGGTTTCTGCTGTCCTCTGACTTCTTCTGTTTACCAGGAAAGAATTTGATATCAATTATTTATAAATTAGTGTGAATTGAATGTTAAGTACTTGTGTTACTTTCTTCAGAGCAGTTCCATTCGAGTTTTTGTTGTTGATGATGTTTGTTTGTTTTTGCATAATGAAGGACTGTGTGTCCTTTGAAGGGGATTTTGGATATCAGTAGGTAAGAAGGAGGAAGAGTTGAAATCACTCACTTCAAAGCCATCTACTAAAAACTGACATGAGTAGTTTTGCCACCAATGTATTCAGACTCTTTGACTTAAGTGGGATTTAGATACGGATGGCAAACTGGGCTATAGTAACATTTTCCTGCCTTGTCACTGCCTTCAGTTATAAAACTCTGTATGTCTAACAAAATAACAAAACTTCCTCTTTTACAATTTTAGCCATTTTTTACCACTAAACTGAGGATCCATGATACATGTGGTGTTCATAACCTGCATGGCTTACCTGGTGTGGTAGGAGGCCTCGCAAGCATTGTGGCGATAGCCTTGGGAGCATCTAAGACGTGAGTTAAAGAATGGGTTTTCCTGCACCCTGAGGTTGATGATTTTTTTTTTTTTTTTTTGCTTTTGGTTTTGGTTTTGGTTATCTGTTTATTTTGAGAGAGAGAGAGTGAGCAGGGGAAGGGCAGAGAGAGAGACAGACAGAGGGAGAGAGAGAATCCCAAGCAGACTCTGTGCTGTCAGTGCAGAGCCTGACTTGGGACTTGACTTCACGAACCATGAGATCATGACCTGGGCCAAAATCAAGAGTCAGACACTTAACTGACTGAGCCACCCAGGTTTTCCAGGTCTGATGTTTTATCTCAGTCTTGGAGGAATCTGGTAATGAGACAGCTTTTACTTTACCAATCCAGTCCATAGTTCGTAAGTATTGTCCTTACTGAAGCAAAAGAGACACAATTGAGAGAATAGAATTGTAAGGGAAGATGGTCTTAACTTAATGTTATTAACATTGGTTGGTTGGTTGGTTGGTTGTTTTTACTTAACAGTGTTATTTAAAATTTTTATACCATAGGCAAGTGTCTTGTAGCAAATTTGGCAATTTGATAATCACAGTCAGAATACAGTAGGTTTGCTCTTTTAGTTGCTCTCACCAAAATGAAGGAGGGGGCATCTGCGATGAGCTGAGCTGCCATTTCATATAATCAACACATAGAAGAATGAATTCACATAATGTAGAAAGCAGCTGGATCTGGAGAATCAGGAAGACTGGCATATGGCTCAGGCTTTGCTATTGACTAATTATGGGGCCTTACAACTCACTCAGCCTCTGTGGTTCTCAATTTCCTCTTCTATAAAATGAGAGAATCATAGTATTTAGTCTCTAAGATCTCTTCAACTCTAAACAGACCTAGATTCTTCCCAAAAGGGGCATAGGGTTTAAATGGCTGGAAGAAGAACAATTATCAGTCAAATCCAAGACAGTAAAAGTGATGTCATAAGCCATCAGTTGTCACTTTTAGGCAACAAGATTGGAACAGTTTGATATGAATATTATCGATGTAAAACAGGTAGGAAGATCACACAGTCCGGATCACTCAGAGATTAAGCAAGGAAGAATCAAAATGCTCAATTTTTAAAGCCAATTGAAAGCATGAAGATAAGGTGAATATGTTTGAAAATGTATCAAAGTGACTCCTGACTAGAGCTGAATAATTTGAAAAGAAAAATTTCTTTAATTTTAACAGATTAAAATTCAACTCTGTTGAGACCAGTAATGACAAATATTTGAAAAATTAGTTTAATCACATTTACTACTCAACAGAAATTTGCTTCTACTTTCATGTGTATAGTTGACCCCTTTCTTCTGTTTGTTTTCTTTTTTTGCCCCTTTTGAAAATTTGGAGAACAACCCCAGAATTATCCATATTTTTTTGCAGTTCTCTCCAGGACCTAACATCTGTGGAGACTAAATGCAAACATATTTTAATGCAAATCAAACACGATAAACGCATGAGTCCATGAGCTCAACTCCTAAATGCTATAATGTATAAACACTGCAAACACTCTTAAGATGTCGCTCATGATTAGACATAAAGGAATTCTTGAGCATCATGCTTGTACCAGTTCCATGGATGTAATAAAACAAGACTATCTGGCTCTCACAGGCTGGGTCTTGCTGGGTGGCCAAATTTGGGGAAGGTTCCATGGTTGAGAGTCTAGTGCTTCGGTATTCAGGTTTGGCAACCACTTCTCAATGTACTCAGGGGGATTTGGTGGTGGGGGGAGAGGGGAAAGCAGAGGGGTTGGATGATGAGCTTGGAAGGTCTATTCACGTGGGTGAAATCCACATACATCTTTCCTGGGTGAAATTCACATACATCTCACACACCAGACAAAATATTTTGGCCAAGACCCAAGACTATTTACTCAGATGTTTCTATTCAGAATATTAAAATGCAAATCAGGTTTCTTGGTAAGCATTGAATAAGAAGTAAGTATTCTTAATGTTTATTTACTTTTGAGAGAGAGAGAGACCAAGCATGAGTGAGGTAAGGGCAGAGAGAGAGGGAGACACAGAATCTGAAGCAGGCTCCAGGGTCCATGCTGTCAGCACAGAGCCTGATGTGGGGCTCGAACTCACGAACTGTGAGATCATGACCTGAGCTGAAGTTGGATGCTTAGCCAACTGAGCCACCCAGGTGTCCCAGAAGTAAGTATTCTTAAGGGACATCTGCGAACATTATGGCAGCCTAATTCTAATAATGCTCTTAATGTTTATTTTCCAAGCCCATGTAATCTTGGAAATCTTTTCATCAAAAAATATTTTTTAATACCTTGGAAAAGATTTTGGCAAGTTCTGATAAAATTAACAGGCAGTTTACAAAAGAAAAACATCAAATGAATAAATATATATTAAATATTCAACCTCACTAGTAATCAAAGAAATGCAAATTAACACAAGTTACTAATTTTTCAGTTACCAAATTGAAAGATTAAATGAATGATGATACTGAATGGTGGCTAAAGTAGAATAATGGGGATTTTAATTATGCATTTTTCTATTTGGAAAAGCCCTTAAGAAGTATATAAACTTTTACTAATAATTTCATTTTACTAATAATTTCATTTCTAATTATTTTAGGGAAATTATTGGACAAATTCATAAGCATTTCATAAGAGGATGTGTTCTCATGGCATTTTTAAAAATATGAAACATTGGAAACAACCCAAGTATCTAAACTATAGAGCTATAATTACAGTACATTTTTACACTGTAGTACTTGGTAGCAATTGAAATTATGATCCAGGTCTACATTTACTGACATCAAAGGGCACTGAAGATTTAATGGCAAAATCAGTTT